CACGTCTTTCAAGTCCCTTGGGTATATTCCTAGCAGTGAAATTGCTGGGTCATATGGTAGTTCTTTTAGTTTTTTGAGGAACTGCCACACTGTTTTCCATAACGGCTGTACCATTTTTCATTCCCACCATCAATTTCCCCACATCCTCCCCAGTATTTATTTATTTATTTATTTTTATCTTAGCCACCTTAGTGGGAGTGAAATGGTATTTCATTGTCGTTTTGATTTACATCTCTCTGATACAATATTTCTTTATGGCTTTACTTTGCATGTCCCTGATTACTAATGAGGTTGAGCAATTTTTGTTTATTGACTTTGTGAATTTCCTCTTTTGAGAAGTGCTAGCTCAAATCTTTGGGTTAACTTTTATGATTTTTAATGTAAGGAATTTTTTTTATTGATTCGTAGGAGTTCTTTATACACCCTGGACACAAATCCTTTGTCAGTTATATATATTACAAATGTTTTTTGATGAACAGATGTTCTTAATTTTAATGTAGTCAAGATAATGTCTTTTCCTTTAGTTAGTATATTTGAGTCTTAAGAAATATTTCCCTATCCTGCATTCATGACTATATTCTTCTATATTATCTTCTAAAAGCTTTTAATTTGCCTTTTGCATTTAGTCTGTGGTATAGTGGGAATTGACTTTTGTATATAGCCAAAGGTAGGAGTCCTCTTTTATACATTAAAAGTTTTATATATGTATAGATCTGTTTCTGGACACTCTATTCTGTTCCATTGGTCAACTTTTTAAAACATGCACTAGTAACACATTTTCTTAAATTCTATAGCTTTAAAATAAATCTAGATGTCTCTTAGAGCAAATACTACCCTATCAATGTACTCTTCTTTAGAGGAGTTATTTTTTTTCCATATAGATACCTACCATCATAACATAATTTATTGAAATGTATGTCCTCTTTCTCCTCCCACCTCTGTCATAATCAAGTGTCTAAATATGTGTGAGTCTGTTTCTGGGCTCTATACTATGTTTCAGTGATCAATTTGTCTATCTTTGTGCCAATACTATACTACCTTCATTATTATGGTTATGTCCTCCTACCTAGTAAAGCAAGTCTTCCCACCTTGTTCATCTTCTTCAAGATGCCGTTTGTATATATAGGTAAATTTTTTAATCAATTTATCAGTTCCACGCACCCACAAAAAAAAAAAAACCTATTTGGATTTTGAGTGGGATTGTTCTCAATCTATAAATCACTTTGGGGAGAACTGACTTCCTTCATGGTATTCCGTCTTCCAATCTATGAATATGATCTATATCTCGATTTATTTTAGGTCTTCTTCATTGTCTCACAATAAATAATTTATAATTTTCTGCATACAGTTCTTATACATATTTTGTTACATTTATACCTAGGTATTTGATATTGATACAATTGCAAGTGGTAACTAAAAATTATTCATCATCAGTTGTTGCTCACATATAGAAATAGGATTGATTTCATATATTGATATTTTTATCTTTCAATCTTGCAAAACTCTTGTTAATCCTAATAATTCATTTGCGGATTATTTTTAATTTTCTATATATACTATCATATTATCTGTTTATAATAAAAGCTTTCTTTTGTACCTATTCATTTTATCTTTTATTCCTTTTTCTTATTTCTCTGGCTTGGATCCCCATTACAATATTGAATAGAAGTGGTGATATGGGTATGATTAAGGAAGTTCCCTTCTTCTAAAAGATTTTATCACAAATGCATGTTGACTTCATTACATGCTTTTCCCGCATTGAGATTATATTGTTTATTCCTTTAATCTGTTAATATGTGAAATAAAATGAATGTATTTTCTAATACTAAATGACCCTTAAATTCCTGGGATAAATTCAAGTTAGTGTTGTGTCTTATCTTTTTTGCACAATGCTGGATTTGCTTTGGTAATATTTTAGTGAAGATTTTGGTATTTCTGTTCATGAGTGAAAGTGACCTGTAATTTTTCTTTCTAGTACTGTCTTTTTCTGGTTTTGTTATCAAAGTAATTCCGGCCCTGTAGAATGAGTTGATGAGTGTTCTTTCTTTTCCTATTTTCTGGAAAAGTTTACATAAAATTAAGATGATCTGTACTTTGAAAGTTTGGTGCAACTTGCCTGTGTGAAGTCATTCTTTCTTGACTCTTCTTTTCACACTTCATATCTAATCTGTCTCCAAATTCTGTTCACTCTGCCTTCATATTAAATCCAAAATCCAACAGGCAAATGTATATAGGTGCATAAGTTTATCAGTGGTTACCAGGGGTGGGAGAGAAGGGGAGAGGGGGAGCCATTGTTTGAGAAGCAGTGAGTTTCTCTTTATGGTGATGGGAAATTTGGCATCGATTAAGAGTGATGGCTGCACAACAAGATTAATGTAATTGATATCACTTAGTTGTACACTTGAAAAATATTGAATTGGCAAGTGTTGTGTTATATATATTTTTACAGCAATAAAAAAAATCCAAAATCCAACCACTTCTCCCCACCTCCTCTGCTACCACCTTGGTCCAAGCCACCACCATCTCTTGCCTGGATTGTTGCAGTAGCCTCCAAATTGGTCCTGTTGCTTCTGTCCACGCGGCCATCGTATTTTAAAAATATGGGTCAGATTATGTCAATCCCTGGCTCAAATCTTCCACTGGCTGCCCATCTCACTCAGAGTAAGTATCAAAGTCCATACAGTGGCCCATATGGTCTGATGTGATCTGGCCACTCTGCGACCCCATCCCCTACTTTTCTCCTTGCTTACTCAGCTGTAGCCACACAGGTCCCCTTGCTATTCCTCAAACACACCAAGCATGTTCCCACCCCAGGGCCTTTCCACTTGTAATTTGCCTGGAACACTTTCCCCACAGAATCCACATGACTTGTTCCCTCATATTTTTCAGGTCTCTGCTCTAGTGTCACCATATCAGAGAGGCCTTTCCTTAGTACCTTACATAAAATAGCAAATCTCTTCTGCATTTCCTATCCCCCTTACCTCGTTCTTATTTTTCCTCATAATATTTACCACCTCCTGACCATTATATATTTATTTATTCATGGCCTGCATCCCACCACAAGAATGTACATACCAAGAGGGCAGGATTTTATTTATGTCCCCAGTAGCTAGGACAATGTTTGGCAATAAGAGGTACTCAATATATATTTTTGAATCAACAATGAGTATTTTATTATATGTGTGACTCCTTGGATGTCAGGCAGCTTTTCTAGCTTTAATTCAGTGCATCTTATTCTCTATCATTAGCATTAAAAACACAGCAGCTGGCACATGGCCTTGTACATAACTTGTACATAACGAATGAATCCTACATCCTGGGCTTTGTGTAAGTTTACTTAGCTCCCATCCTCCCCTTGGAGAACTTCTTTATTTTTCTTCTCACTATCACCCTCTTTCCCCATTTCTATTCCTTTATCTTTTCTTTCTCACCTCTACTCCTTTTCCTCTTCTCTCTGCTGTTTTAAACCTCACTTCTTTAGTCCATCCCCTCTCTCATTTCTTTCTCCACATTCTCCTCTTTTTCTACTTACTAATTGTTCTCTCATTTTCTTTTCTCATTGTTCTTCTCTCTCTCTCATAGAACAGTAAAACATCAGTATCAAAACTAGCCTTAGAGATTCTGTCATATAATCTCTCACTTTGCAGATATAGAAGAGAAGATACCACAAGATGCCATGAGTTGCTTTAAGGTCCCAGCTAGCTTAAGACCAAATCAGGGCTGTAGCTCAGGTTATCCATTTCCTCCTCTCTTCTCTCTTCCCTCTCTGCTTTTCTTTCCTCCCTGTCTTAACACAGTCTTAGACTCAGACAAACCTGCATTTGGATCTCAGCTCTACCACTTCCTGGTGATCTTTAACAAATTATTTGTTCCTTGGTGATCCTCAGTGTCCTCACAGGTTAAATGAGATATTAATATGCACCTCAAATGCTTGCTGTAAAGATTGAATTTTAAAAAAAAAGTTGAACAAACAAAGCACATGGTATATAATAGAACAAATGTTGGTTCTTTTCTCCTTTTTTCCTCTTCTACTTTAAAAGTGATAAGATTGGACCATTAAATTCTTTGGTCCCTTCAGACTTTGACTATTTTATTATGCCTTTTATTCCTTCTCAATTTTATGTTTCATCTCTTCCACTCACTACTACTACTTCTTCTCCTATAGAAATGGCAGTTGTTTATTTTTTTCCCCCCTAAAGTATCAAGGTGAAGTGGAAAGACAGCTTTGGATTTGAAAAGACCTGTGTTCCAGGCAAATACCTGAATTTTTATGAAGCTCAATTTCCTTATCTGTAAAATGAAAATAACAATATATGCCTCCCTTCCACATAAGGCCCCCCTTCCCTAGGAATTAAAAGAGTCAATTTATGGAAAACATCACTCTCCAAGTACATGTTGTACTCATGGCAGAGGGAGCCCTGGAGTCACACTGAGAAGGCAGTACGGTTGTAAGAATTCAACAGAATAAAGATGCCTGAACAAAAATAAGCACTCGATACATATTAGCTATTATTTCCTTTCCCTTTTCTACTTCTTTTCCCCTATTCCTCAAAAAATGAGTGGTTGAACTATCCAGGTGATCTCTGCCGCTTACCTGCTATTATTGATTATTGTCCTTTTTCCTCCTTCTCCCCTTCCCCCCTTCCCCCCCTTCTCCCTCTCTCCTTCTACTACAGCTTCCCTCTCGCTCCAGGCACAAGCGGCAGCCCAGGTCTCCAGGACCCCGACAGCTTACAGCTAACACACAGCCCGAAACTCGTTGAGAACGAGAGCTCATTCTACCTTTAGCGTCCAGCGTCCTTCCACCAATAAAGTTTTATTGAACCAGTACGGGGGGGCGGGGAAAAGGCGCCCGTCAGTCTTCTCCCTGCAACCAATCAGAGAGTAGGATGCCTGTGTTCCCTCACTGGAGCTTCAGTGGTCGGAGAGCCGGGCCGGCACGTCCCACCCGAAACCTGCGTCTAGGAGCGGACGTACGGTCGGAAGCCGGCCATAGAGTTTAGTAGCTAGAGCGACTCTGGAGGAGGTGGCAGGAAAGGCTCGGAACAGCTGCCGGAGGTGACGGAGCCGCGGTCCCCGCCCGGTGGCTGTAAGACGAAGCTTCCAGGTAGCGGCCCACAGAATCTTAACAAGAGTACGACGGGCAGTCGGCCGGAGCTTACGGTCCCAGGGCGGCCTCTTTAAGGAGGGGCGGAGCCCCGCGTAAGGGGCGTGGGGGTGAGGTCACGTGGTTGGGGGGCATGTGTTGGGCACCAGAGAACCGAGGAATTTTCGTTGTTGGGGTGGACACCGTGTGACACTCCTTCCCCCACTGCATCTTGTGCCTTGGGGTTCAGTGGTGGGCATGTGGTGAGCCTTGGGGTTAGGCCCGGGGGTCGGGGGAGAAGGTAGGTGTGGCATCCCTATCTCATCCTTGCTTCTATCGAAATGACCAGCTTTAGGATTCCTTGGTCCCAGTTCTAACCATCCCATCTCTGACTCCTCACTGTAGAAGCGATTCAGTGCCTCTGCAATTCAGCACCCCCTCCCCGCCCTGCCTTGCGCTTCCCGTCCTATCAGCGTTCAGAGACCTCCAGCTTCACATCCTTTTTCCTTGCAGCTCCAGACATCCTGAGCCCAGCTGCCCCCAGCTCAGTGAAGCCATGAGTGGGGAGGTGAAGGTGACAGGGCAGAACCAGGAGCAATTTCTGCTTCTGGCCAAGTCAGCCAAGGGGGCAGCATTGGCCACACTCATCCACCAGGTGTTGGAGGCCCCTGGTGTCTACGTGTTTGGGGAACTGCTGGATATGCCCAATGTTAGAGAGGTGGGTTCCTGGCCTTAATAGCTCACAGCGAAACTTGGGGCTAAAAGTTTGAGAATGGGCGGGTAAGGCTCATTTTGCAACTATATAACCATTCAGTTGAATAAGAATATGATGATGCTAGCAGCTTGCAAAAGTAGGTAAGCAGCTTCCCTTTAGAGATGAAGGATCTGAAAAATCCAGTATTTTTCACTTTTAAGCAAAAGAGCATGTGATTCATAATGGGAGACCTGAGTTCCAGCCCGTCTCCACCAATGTAGTATCTCTTAATAATTATATAACGTTGATCACAAATGGAGATGATGTTGCCTTCCTCACCGTTAATGTGAGAATCAAGTGAGATGATGGGACGGTGTAAAGCCTGGTACAAATGGGAGGAGTGAACGTGTTAAATTACTGTGCCCTCTTCTCCCTCCGTTGCACCATATGCTATTCATTTAAGGTAGGTAAGGTAGAAGGTGTCTTTTCTCCCAAAGACATGGCAAGTTGCTTGGAACACAGTGGCAGAGTTAAGAGTTTAAAGAATGACTAAAGATATATGACATCGTCCAAGTCCTGAGATGCTATGACAGCGGGCCAACTGAACCAAGTTTTTGAAGGCCTATGATTGAGTCAATGGATTTAGCCTTTTTGGATCAGAGAAAACTCTGTTACCTTCTTTCCTTGCTTTCCTGTGCAGTGGAAGAAGTATTTATTGAATGCCTGTTTAGCACTCTGCTAGTTGTCTGGGAATACCAGAAAAGTACAAGACAGTGCTTACCCTTCTGAAGCTTAAATTCCAGTTGAAGAGATAGGATGAACGGATATAACTCTATAAGTCATTCATTTAGCAAGTATTTATTGTGAGATCCAACTACATGCATAACTATGCTAGATCCTGAGTGGAATACCAGAGATCGAGTCTATAATCTTGTTGACAAGAAAGGTACTGTTAGGTAACAAGGTTAGGTGGAGATTGATTGATGAAGTGCCAGTGATAGGAGGAGAGGCAATCTGGGTGGGCTGGATTGGGTGATGCAAGCCTCCCGGGTGAGGTGGGTCCAAAGCAGAGGCCACAAATTCAGATGGCTGCCTAGGCCATGCAGCTGTCAGAGATGAGTGAGGCTGAGGCAGGAGTCTTTGGTGAACTGGGGAGTACAGCCGACTGTTGAAAGACATTCTCAGAAATACTAAGCATGCTCTGAGGGCCAGACAACACAATTTGCAGTGTCTAGTGTGTGTCTGTTAAGTAGTGGGCACGTTCAATATTTTTAGCCCTGAATTTGGGGTAGGTATTGGATAGCGGATGGAGGAAGAGGGCATTGTGGATTGGGGGAATAGCCAAAAAAAGGCCTGGAGGTGGAAACAAGACCTTCCTAAGGGGAGTATGGTCAGAGAGGCAGAGAGTTCCTTTTGGTAAGTGGGAGAGCTAGCATTAGAGGGGAAAGAGAGGACCTGAAAATGGAGTTTAAAACAGGGTAAGGCTGAGAGGGTGGAGAGGGAGGCCCTTCCTGTCACTTCTCTTTCCTCATATTCTTGCAGCTGGCTGAGAGTGACTTTGCTTCCACATTTCGGCTGCTCACGGTGTTTGCTTATGGGACATATGCTGACTACCTAGGTAACTGGAGGGCTGGACTGGAGCTCTGGAGTAGTGGAGATGGGAGAAGGGCAATTTCTGGAGGAACTTAGTTGGAAGAAATTCCTGGGATACCTCATTTGGTTGGATCCCCTAGGTGTACAGGGCCAGGGTCAAGACCTGGATTGACATAGAAACCACCTCCCCCAACAAAAAAAAAAGCAAGGGATGGTGGTTAGGGCTTCCCACAAACTGAAATCAGAATTCCCTGCACTTTGTCCTTTTTTCCCAGCTGAAGCCCGGAATCTTCCCCCACTCACAGAGGCCCAGAAGAATAAGCTTCGACACCTATCAGTTGTCACCCTGGCTGCCAAAGTCAAGGTGAGTGGCAGTTGCCCCAGCCCTGAGCCAAAGAGGTATAGAACATTCTTCTGTATGCTCCTTCATAAGGGCCCATTGGCAGGGAATTTACACTGAGACAACTTTTGACCCAACTGTTGCTTCTTCCTGCCCCTCCCCTGAGGTCTGTATCTAAACTCTGTTACCTGCAGTTTTTTAGGCAGAACATTGTTCTCTTAGTTTTCTGCTTTATTTTTCAATCAGTTTAAGTCCTGAGTAAAATGTCATTTGTGTTTTTGGTCAACATAGCAACTAGGGTGTTCACTGTGTTCAACAATTACCCTTTTTCCATGATGTAAAGTCCCATGTAAACAAAGCCTCAGAGCTGGGAACAGGTGCTCTCTTCTGATGAAGTACTAGGCTTCTGTTTTTTAGAATGAGAAATATCTAACTTAGAGGTATCTCTGTACTCCTTTTAGGCTCAGTTTTTATTGATCTTTTTTCCTTGTCAGTCTGTACTCTTCCGCTTGTTGCTTGACTCTGTCCCTTAGTTTTCATGATTTTACTTAAATCGGGCTCTCTTTTGTGAGATGCCTCAAACAGGATGCCTCTTTGGAATTTGGTAGAGTATAAATGATAAAGAGAGTATACTCCAGATCTCTCCCACTACCGCATATTCCCATTATGTCAAGCTGACCGTGACCGAGGGCTATGTGATAGCCTGAGCTATGGCTGAAGGGATGACAGTTAGATGTCACTTTCTCCCTCTGTGGTATGGGAGTAGGGGTGGTAGGGGAGTGTAAGTCTTGTATTTTGTTTTTTATAATTGTCCTTCTCACACGGGAGAAAGATGTGGCAGTCTGCTTTCATAAAGATTACAGCCTTGGAAACCCTATGGGGCAGTTCTTCACTGTCCTATAGGGTTGCTATGAGTCAGAATCAAATCAGTGACAGTGGGTTTGGTTTTTTGGTTTTGGTCCTTCTCATGATGTTATTTTTTGGGGGGGGTGGGGGGTGGGGCAGATACTTTCATTTATATTGCCTTAGATCCAGCCTTTTAGAGGATGTGATTTAGGAATAAGGAGTGGAGGGAAGGCGGGTTTGGGCAGGCAAAGAGGAAGAAAGAGGATTGTTAGAGGCCCTTCTCTGCTGCGGAACCTTGAGAACCCTGGCCTGACCTACCTGGTTTTCAGTGTATCCCATATGCAGTGTTGCTGGAGGCCCTTGCCCTGCATAACGTGCGGCAGCTGGAAGACCTGGTGATCGAGGCTGTGTATGCCGATGTGCTTCGTGGCTCCCTGGACCAGCGCAATCAACAACTGGAGGTTGACTACAGCATTGGGCGGGACATCCAGCGCCAAGATCTAAGTGCCATTGCTCGAACCCTGCAGGAGTGGTGAGACCTGTCTCCTGGCACTGCTTCTTTTCTTCTTACTCCAAGAAGGAGAGAGGTGCTTCAGAGGGGGTTGGGCTGGGCTGCAGAGGTGGTGCCCAAGAGAATGAAGGGAAATGAGCTCCTTCCTCCAAAGGCTTCAGAGGGAAGAAGGGAGTGGAGGCCCTGGGAGGCAGGAGGTAATGTCCTTGGTGTAGTAACTGGGGAAAGGAGAAGGGGATGGTCCCTTAGAGAGGATCCTTATGGGAGGTTGATCACCTTTCCTAGGTTAGATTCAACCCATTGGTCTGTAGCCAGCACTGTCCATGGACTGTCAGCCTCTCCCCCTTCTGTTTCTCCGTTTGAGTCCTTGTCTAACTTCAGTGTCTTTATTCATTAATATACCTCCTTTTTCTCTTTAGCATGTTTTACCTCACTTTGTTTTCAGTTCTTACTCCCGTCTTTTGCATCATTCCAGGCACTTCCTTATCCCTCTCTGATTCTACCTGAATGTCATCGGGCTGCTGGGGTATAGTTGCTGGTAGTTTTCAGGTGCCCTGGTGAGGGTTCCTAACTCAGACAAGGGCTTGGATGCCAGGATCATCTAGGGTTCTTTTTGAGTCTGTCTTTCATGAGTGTGTGATCACAGCCCTCTTCTGCTGACGCTTCTCATCTTTCCCAATCCCTGCAGGTGTGTGGGCTGTGAGGTTGTGCTGTCAGGCATCGAGGAGCAAGTGAGCCGGGCCAACCAGCACAAGGAGCAGCAGCTGGGCCTAAAGCAGCAGATTGAGAGTGAGGTGAGCAGGCAGGGGATCAGGAGGGAAAGCTCCTTTAGCCTGGGCCATTTGTTGTGTGCAGAGGGGTTTGGACAGTGGCTGTAGCAGAGAAACAAGTGGGCAGAGGCTGTCAGGTTCTGAACCTTCCTTTACTATTACCCATTCCTTTCTTCTGGTAGGTTGCCAACCTTAAGAAAACCATTAAAGTTACAACAGCAGCAGCAGCCGCAGCCACATCTCAGGACCCTGAACAACACCTGACTGAGCTGAGGGAACCAGTTCCTGGCACCAACCAGCGCCAGCCCAGCAAGAAAGGCTCGAAGGGCAAGGGGTGAGCCAGTGTGGTAGGAACTGCTTGCTTCTGGAGTGCCCCACTTTTACCTCAGGAACCTGGCTGCCCTCACTTCCTTTAGTCATTTGCACAGGGCTAGGGAGTGGGGGAGCCTTCGTGGGGTTAGGGATTTCCTGCATCATCTGTTTCTCTTCCCCTTGCCAGGCTCCGAGGGAGCGCCAAGATTTGGTCCAAGTCGAACTGAAGGGGGACTACCATTTCTTTCCTGGGGATGTGGGGTCCTGGCTGCCTGCCTGCCCCTTAGGAGTCCTCAGAGAGCCTTCCTGTGCCCCTGGCCAGCTGATTATCCTAAATTCAGCATTCACTTCCCTTCTTCTCGCCCCCACTCCCAAGCATAGATCACACCTCTCTAGGGAGGAGGTGAGTACAGGTCATGTTTTTGTTGATACTTTTTGCTTTGTGTGACTTTCTAATGTGTTCTCATATCCCCCACCCCCTCCCTACCATGCCCTCTCCCCTCTTTTAAGAGCTTAGCGTCTACCCCTGTCTATTACATCTCTCATTGAGTAGGTGTCCAGCATAACCCACCGGTGGTGTTCTCCTCCTACCCCTAACCTTGCATGCCTGATCCCCAGTTCCCATTCCCTACCCCTGTCCTATTTGGGCAGCATCTGAAGAGCCATAGGGCCCTCACCTTTACTCCCACCATCAGAGTTCTGGGAGCCAGTCTGCCATCCAAGGAGTCACTGGACACTTTTATCCTAGAATCTGGTCACACTACAGTTGTTTCCTTTCTTCTCTCTTCCTCTTGGGCCCTGGGAGTACTGCTGCTTCAGTGTCCCAGAGCCCAAGAAGGGTAGATGTTTCTCGAGATGTTGAGAGATGGCTCTGTCTTGGCCCTGGCTATCTTAGAACGCCTGATAGCATTCCTGGAAGGATTTGTATTTCTTTTTGTGAGTTTGGTGGGGAAGGTAAGGGCATATAGATTGTATAAAAAAAAGTATATATACGTATGTCTATATATAACATGACACAGAAATAAATCTATGAGGAATCTATCTACAAACATGCCCTGAACTGGGTATCTTCTGTGTGATATTTGTGGATGGGAAGAAGAGCCATTCCCAGTCCATTGTAAAGCAAAATCCTGGAAGAGGAAGAGACCACATATTGTGTGATGAGTCCTAGCTTAGGATCCAGGAGGCGTAGATTCTGGGCTGTGTGACTTCGGACAAGTTGCTCAGTATCTTATCATCCATCCATCCATCCATCCATTCATTAGCAATGAATATTTACTGCATACCAGCATGTGATAGGGACCGAATATGTAAAATGATACTCACCATCCCTACTCTCAAGGAACTTTAGTTCAGCTTGTTTTCTTCTACTTGATAGAATTATAAGGGGAAGAGTTGGTGATAAATGTAAGTTTTCACATCAAAACCGTACAGAGCTGTCCAATCTGAAGCAGGAAGCAGCAGTCATTCTCTTGTCCTCTGTCTAAAGCAGAGCATCCCCTGAGCAGTGTGCTGGGAGGAGTGGTCTCCTTGGCCCAGTGTACTGCTGTGCACCAGGGAAGCTCTAGTTTAAGGGACAGTTGAGCCCCCACGTGTGCGTGAAGCTGTTGCCCCCTGAGAGTCCCAGTGTGGACTGGGCTGCTCTCCTCAGCCTGTGCTATTTCCGAGGTGTAGATTTTAGGACAGGCTGGTGCAGTGATTAAGATCTTGGCTGCTAACCAAAAAAAGATCAGCAGTTCAAATCTACCAGCCACTCCTTGGAAACCCTATGGGGCAGTTCTACTCTGTCCTATAGGGTCAGTATGAGTCTGCATCGACTCAGCGGCACACAACAGCAACAACACTCTTCACTAGTACTAAAGGTTTTCAGTCATGGAAATAAAAAGGGGGCTGAGTGAGTCTGTTGTCTTGAGGGGACAACACAGACTTAATGGGACCAGTACAATGAGCCCTATTTCTGGAGTTGACACTCTTGGCTTCTCATCTTAGCTTTGCCCTAGACATGCTTATTGGGCCTATTGGGTCTTGATTCTCAGTCTCCACCTCCGAAATAAACCCCTTCTTCCTTCCACACTTTCCAGTCTGTAGAAGTTGCTAATTCCTGGTGCTTTGAGCCTGCCCCTGCCCCAGTTTTCCTTTTAAACTTAGTATCTCTTTTTCCTGTAAGCTTGGAGGAAATCACTGGTCCCAGCTAGTGGTCCTATAACTTCCTAGATCTCTCTAGTTCTAGCCTTCAGTGAATGGCTCTAAAGTCTAATATGGGCTGGGCAGGGACTGCCTGGCTTCACACCTGAAAGGGGGGAAGGGGGAGCATTCATATCCTCAGGGACATGGAAATGCAGGTTATCTGTCTTTGATTTACAGAGAAGGGGCTCTTGGCTACAAAGGCATGGGTAGGGGAGTAGATTAGTTGGAAAATATTGAGGGTTCAGTTTTTTCCATGATATTTGGTTCAATATTTAGAAATTCTGTATATAATGAAGCCAAGGGCACCAGGAGAATATTCCCTACCAAGAACTCATATCACTCACTTGCACACTCACACACATGCTGGTCCCCACGGTAGGGCAATCTTAGATGACTTTAAGACTTGACCACTAGGATAACTTGCTTCTGTGAGAGTTCGTAGTTCAGGCAGATGAATGGATGACACTTAAAAAGTTAAAAGTATCTGAAGCTAAAAATGATAATTGGACCCGGGCACATCTTTAAGCACAAGAAGAGCAGAGACAATGTTGAAGTATTTCATGATGTTCTGTTATAGATGGATTAGAAATTCCTTATTTAGGTGAATTTCCTAATATGGATGGGTAGAAGGGAGTTCAGAGGGGCATGTTGGAGGCTAGGGCTGGGCAGCAGAGAGCCAGTTAGACAGTGTATTAGTTATGTAAGAAATTATCCTAAAACTTACTTGCTCAAAAAAAAACAGTTATTATCTCACAGTTTCTGTGGGTCAGGAATCTAAGCACAACTTATCTAAGGCTTCTGCTTCAGGATCTCATAAGGCTACAATCAAGATGTTGGCTAGGGCCATAATCATCTCAGAGTTCAAATGAGGAAGAATTTGCTTCCAAACTCAGTGGTTGTCTGCAGGATTCATTACTTCATGGGTGGTTGGATTTAGGGCCTCATTTCTTTGCTGACTGTTGGCTGTAGGCTGCCCAGGCCCTCTCCATCAGAGCAAGAGCCAGAGAGACAACACCAGCAAGATGAAAGTCATAGTCTTGTAACCTAGTCACAGATGTGACATCCTACACTTCTATGAGAAGCATGTCACCAGGTCCAGTTTACACTGAAGGGGAGGGGATTACACAAGGGTGACTACCAGAAGGCAGGATCATTGGAAGCTATGTCATAAGTTTCCTACTACAGGCAGTGTTTATATGGGCCACAGCATTAGAATCATCACGGGAGCTTTTGAAATGGATATTTGTAGACCCGCTCACCACTTCAAAAAAAATCAAGTTGCCTCAAGTCAATTCTGACTCACAGTGACCCTTTAGGTCAGAGAAGAACTGCCTCATAGGGTTTCCAAGAAGCAGCTGGTGGATTTGAACTGCTGACCTTTTGGTTAGCAGCCGAGCTCTTAACCACTGCGCCACCAGGGCTCTTAGCAAATTAGAATAACCGGGAGGGGTGGACTGGAAGTTTGCCCTCACTGATTCAGCTCTGAGCTGTGAAGCCCCAGGTACATAAGCAAAGTTGCCCAGATTAGTTTCAACTTGGATCAGCTGTAAAGGCTTTTACTGTGGGGCTTTGGATGACAGGTAATATAGGGCCCAGGATCACCGTATGGGACAGGATGAGCAGTGTTGAAACACTGAGTACAAGGCAAGAGAGCAAGAGAGAGGACTTGTCCTGGCCTTTGAGTTCTTCTTAAATACATGGTTATAAAATTAATAGTGTGGTAAGTGCTGTGAAGTATAGGGTGACATGAAAGCATATAACAGGGGATCTAACCTTGCTTGAGAGTTAGGAAAGTCTTCTCCAAGGATATGACGTTTAAACCAAAAGTAGAAGCCAAAGTAGGAGTTAGTCTGATAAAGAGAAGGGAGAATAAGCATCTTGGGTGGGAGGAGTAGTGAAGGCCTGGAGACAGAAGGACTTTATCCTGTGCCCCACTGTTCTTCCCTAATATGAAATACATAATTTTGGGGATGGGACAGGGAATGCAATCCTATAATTTAATTTATTGTTCATTCACCTTTTCAATCAGTCAGTCTATCTTGACTAATAAATAAATTAGTACTCTGCAGCTGGGGAGAGATGTTAATACTTGGTTTAGAATGAAGAACTCAAGATGAGAGCTGAGTGTTAAACCTCCAAAGTGTCTTTAAAGGGATCTCAGAGAAACCTACACTACAGCCATAGCTAATGGCTAGCACTTAGGGTTCCTGGATGCTAAGTCTCTTAAATTAAACTATAGATAACCTTCTAAATCTTTGTATGCATAATTGGATATTTACAGATATACTCATTTAAAATATACTGGGGATATATTTATTTACATAAGGAAAAGTCTGAAATAATATAAATCAATGTTTATGCTATACTTTCTGGGCATTGGCGTTTTGGATGATTTTTGTCTATTTGCATATCTTCTAATTTTTTTAGAATAATTGCTAATAATAATAAAAGCTGTGCTTACTATGATCAGGCACTGTTCTAAGTGCTTCATGCATGTTTTACATGCATTCAGTGTATAAACTAGTCCTTACAAATTCTCTGAGGTTGATACTGACATTATTCTCTTCTAAGTGTGACAAAATAGAGAAGTTATGTAATTTCTTATTCTGGGGTCACATGGATAATAAGTAGAAGAGCTGAGATTCAAACCCAGGCATGCATATAAGTGTTCCAATTCTGAGGAAAAAGGAGTAGGCCTACACCATTGTGAGTCTTCCATGTTCCTGGACGGAATGCATGGAGCAGCTATCTGAGACCTCTGAAAAGTAACTAGTAATGGGGGGCAGGGAGAAACCCATCCTGGACACAAGGCAGCCTAAAACATGAAAGTGCACACCAGGTGCAAACTGAAAAAGCTCCAAAGAAAACCCTTTTTTTTAGGTCTGAGGAGCAGGAAAGGGCTCCTAAGGGCCAGAAAGTGGGGGAAATCTCTCCCTTTTCCCCCTTCTTCCTCAAGCCTCAGGCAATATCACGTTGACACAGTGACAGCAACACTGTCTGGGCAGGGGCTTAAAACTCCGAGGGAGGAGAACCCTTCTCTCTGATTAGAAGTTGTGGTCCCAAGAGTGTGGACCACAACTCTGCTTTTTCTTTTTCTCACTCTGTTCTCTTAATGCTTGACCGTGGACAAAACACATAGTGGGAAGTGCTCAGCAGAATAGGGAAACTGAAAGCCCCAACTTTCTGGCCACAGGACTGGGAAAGAAGGCCTCAGGG